AAAGAAAGAAAGAAAGAAAGAAAGAAAGGAAGGAAAGAAGGAAGAAAGAAAGAAAATTTAAAAAGAAGGAAAGAAAGAAAGAAAGAGGGAAAGAAGGAAACAAAGAAAGAAGGAAAGAAAGAAAGAATTTGCACTTTTTTTTTGCCATATTGGGAGATTTGAGTTACAATGCATAACAATCAGGTATGCATACGTATTTTTACAAAATATACACACAAAGGATACCAAAAACGTAACGGGAAAGACAAAAAGTAGGACCAACCAGTAGAGCCCTCCAATCATGAGCACCAAAGTGAAGATGAAGGACGTCTTTGAAAAGGAAAAAGGGAAGGAAAAGGTTGGTGGGGGGGGGGCTTGTCTTTATTTGTAACATTATGATAAACAACATATTCCTTCATGAGTTTAATGGGTCTGTAGAGTTGGGTTTGCTCAACATTTAAGTGGGGGATTTTAATGTGTGTGTTTTTACGTCCCCTATCGACACAATTTCGATAACCTAGAAGGAGGGCTTCCGACCAATCCAGCCAAGGTCAACATAGGCTGAGAGGGATACAACATCTGAGCAGAAAGACCGAGATACTCCCTAAAAAGTCCCCACTACAGAATCGAAAACGTAAAGAAATTAGACCTACCTACCAGAGGCACCCTCCAACCATCCGCATTTATGTTCATGAAGATACTTTGGGGTTTGTTTGTTTTTTAACTTTTTAAAGAACGATTCCTAGAGTAAAACCACTCATAGTAATTCCTGGAAACACACCCACAATCCCCCACCATCCCCACCACCCCTGCTCCAATGTCGCTCGTGTGTTTAACACACGCGACTACCGTTGAAGTGGGATACACTTCGTTTCATGCTTCAAATAAAACAGCGGCCTATCTTATACCTATGGGGCAATCTTTGTTGCTGAAGAGAGAGAAGCACATTGACATAATAATGGTCACTCAGTGTTGTGAAAAGCAAGACAAACAGACAGAAACAAGAGAGGGAAAGTACAGAAGTAGGACCTACCAGTGGCGCTCTCCAACCATCCACTGGATATACTTGTTTGGATCAAGTACATGTAATATCAAGTCGAAGGAGAAAATGCCTTCAATGCATTCTATATCACTGAACATTCGTATATATACTCACACAGCACCGGGAAGATCTCTTTCCTAAAGGTCAGATTGTTTTCAATCTGCTTGTAAATTCGTTTCTCGGTACACTCTCTTTAAGCCAGTGATGACACATGCATCTTGCTTTGGTCGTCATCTTTTGATCATCGGTTCTTGTTTTAGTATGCGTTTGCGGCACTAGCTACACAATTAGGTCATATAACTTCCGAAAATTAGAGGTGTTACTAGAGAATAACATACATGCACAAAAGAGAAGGGGGAGAGATGAAGGCGTCAGACGTTTGATAGGAAAGAAGGAGCAAACCACACTAGAGCACTCGCCAACGACTTGCATAATGTCGATACGCTCTTTTTTCAAGCCAGTGATAAAACGGAAACAATCCATGCGGGATCGCCATGCTTTGGTCAGAGGTTCGAATTTTGTCTTCCTTTTTCTTCTGTCCCAGATGCCACTCTTAATTTCTGCAAATGAATTAGAGATAGGGAGGCACACAGCCCCCTTGCAAACACCTAGCATCCACAGAAAAGGTTTTTAGGGACCAGTTTTGAAGGTATTCATTACAGATTGTGTAAAAAAAATTATACAAATTTACTCATGCTAGCTGTGATTTTATCCCAAACGACACAATTTAGGTTACTGAGGAGACAGGCTATTTCAACTCCACCATTTCGGACCTTTCTTTTCTTCTTCATACTCTGTTGCCATTAAGCGTCGGGGGGAGATGCACTATTCTATGGAAGATAAGCTAAGGCAGCCTTCTCTGTTGGGATACCGTAATTTCTCAGGGTTTCCTTGACTTCCTCAATCCACCTTTGCCTGGTCTACCCATTCCTTTATAGCCCAAGTACTAGATGTTATAGGCTCTCAAGGCTGGCTGGCTACATTCGTAATAGGTGGCCAAACCATTCCATTCTTTTTTTATGAAATGCTGGTCGGACTCCGAGGCAATAGTTTCTCTTACTTCTTCATTTTTCTGCCTGTCTCCTCTTGTTATGTAAAGCGTTTTGCGGAGACATTTCACCTTGCAAAACCCACAAGACAATTGTATGGAACGCCCCAACACACAGACGAAAATAGCAGGGATTTAACGCTGACTGTCAAGACATGGAGACAGAAGCAATGGAGGGATAGTAAAGAAGTAGGACTTCCTAGTTGTTCTCTCTTCTCTCCAACGACATGTGGTCAGTGACGTGAAGATCCAGGACAAACAAAGAAAAACCGGTTATGGACCCACTCTGGTAATTAAAACCAAACACTTTGGAAAGTCGGACAAGCGTCTCGCCCCTTCCCCATTCCCCCCTACACACACACACACACACACACACACACGCA